GTATTTACAAAAAGCACATACTGTATACAAACATGGTACAATTTACAGGAGTATACTAATACAAGTTAATTTTCTTATTTTAATATTTTTAAAAAGTATTCTTCACAGTAGTGTCCATAAGATAGATCCTGGACTCAATAACTATAATAATACATATCATCTAAATGGTAAAACGTTTTAGTATGAAATATGGTTTAGCAATGTTGTAGCTGAAATTGTAGCAAAGTACATAATATTATATAGAATAAATCTGAGCTTCCTTTTAAAAATTGAATGAAATACAACGGAATTATTGGAGACTTGTCAAAAATGGAGACTTGTCAAACATGATCAAAACCAGACAAGCGGTATAGGAACCAAGGTAGATTTGAGCATGCAATTTACTTGTCTTATCATATAATGTGCACATTTTAATTTCATGAAAAGTATATTTATTTTTACAAATACTTTATAAATTTACATAACTAAGATTTACATTTATGAATGTATATGTCAATCACAGGCATTAACATTTCACAAAAATATCATACCAAGACTAATACATATGAATATGTAGATTTTTATTCCTTTAAAAAAAATGTAAGGTTGCTTTGTTTTGATTTTTGTGAAATACAATCAAGCATTTAAAAAGCACATACCGGGGGCGTGGCCTAACTCCGCATGGCAGCAGTCGCATAATTTGGGAGCTCCGCCATTACGTGGGCTTACACAGCGTGGAAACCAGCGATACTCACCCACCACATCTCCCATAAGCCGGCGAGGGAACAGGGGAGGACATGACCACTAAATCCTCCAAAAAACTAAAACAGAAGACGCTGCACTCCCACCTCACGATGGGGAACAATGGCGTCCAAGATGGCGCCGACGGAGCGCACTATTCCGCCTCGGATCACGAGAGTGGAGAAAGCCTGGACCCCCCTAGCATCACCAACAACCACCTAGCCACCGATGCCTCGGTGAGCAGCATGCTACAGTCGCTCCAGACTAACCTGAGGTCGGATTTTTCCAAGATGGCGGCGGACGTAAGAGCAGACATTCAGGCCCTGGGAGACAGAACAACACACTTGGAGGAGGCAACGGAGGGGTTAAGAGAGGCCCATAATGAACTGGCAGAAGCGCACACAACATTGCAGCGAAAGGTACAATTCCTAGAGAGCAAAATCGCTGATAACGAGGACAGGGACAGGAGAAACAACATACGGCTACGAGGTGTCCCTGAAACAGTAGGCCCTCAAGATCTGGCCACATTCGTTAAAGAGCTGTTCAAGGCGCTCATTCCGGCATTGGAAACCTCAGACCTGCGCTTAGATCGCACTCACAGATTACCGAAGCCGAAGCAATTACCTCCAACTACACCGAGAGATGTAATCACCAGAATCCATTACTTTGAGGTCAAAGATCGCTTAATGCAAGCATCCAGATCTAACCCATCATTGCCAAAGCCGTTTGCTGATATCAAACTGTTTATTGACCTGTCAGCGGCAACCATGACCAAGAGACGAGCGTTTGCACCTGTAACCGCAGCGCTTAGGAATGCTGCTATCCCGTACAAATGGGGATATCCCACGAAGATACTACTGAAACGAAATGGAGTGGATTTGGTAATCTTTACCCCAAGAGATGGCGCAAAATTGCTCAAAGAATGGAACATCCCAATGGCTCGACTTGACGTAGCCAGTTCTCCAGCACCCTCATCACCCAGAGAACAACCCCGAGACTACCGACCTGTCCCATGGCACGCGGCAGAACCACAGAAGACGCCATACCATCAAGCGAGGCCCAAGGATGTAGAACACCACTGATGGAGTACAGATATGTATCCCACACAAGAACTATACAACTAGTTCCCCCCCGGTGCACCCTCGCAGCTGTGCTCACTTGCAAGGTGTCTCACAGCCGAGAGCCCACCCAGGCGGAGAACCGCTTTACTGTTTACGTTACTTAATTGGCACTGTTATTCTTTTTTCCTAAACTTAATTGTACTGTTAAGAAATATTACCTATACGGTATATCAATAGAGGGACGCACACGTATAGCGTTGCGCCCGGTAACTCAGGGCACTATAATCAAAAAAAAAAAAAAACAAATTTTTTTTTTTCTTATACTAGGTAACATAGGAAAACCGTAACAGGTAATACCTACCAGCACCCACAGAGCCCCACTCGGCTTACTTAGTAAGCCATTTCTTTACCCGTCGGCAGATTTCTGCACTAAGCCACCCGGCTAACGGGTTTTGTATATAGTTTAAGTTGTATTGTTATACGTTGATCCCTACCGCACCCCTCCAACTCCCACCCACGCACTTGACGAAATAAGGTGACACTAGGGGCTGAGTAGCACGGCATAGCCTTTACCTCCCTGCCCACCTGATTATAGTGGTGAGGATGTCAATCACTGTACTTTCTCTCAATGCCAAAGGGCTGAACACGCCCCATAAGCGAAGACTGGCACTTTTAGAAGCCAAAAAATGTAAGGCGCAGGTAGCCTTCTTTCAAGAAACCCATTTTAAATGGGGTTCACGGCCTAAATTTAACTCCCCCTGGTTTCCAATAGATCACCACTCCTGCTGCTCCACAAAAAAAAGAGGAGTCTCTATTTTAATAAGCAAGAACGTCACCTTTGAGATGGTCCGTAAGATTAGCGATAAGACAGGTAGATATCTCATCATTCAGTGTCACCTTAACAACAACCCCTTCACATTAATGAATGTATATGGACCCAACGCTAACCAAGAAATGTTTTTGCACCGTATATTTGCTTTGTTGAATATGTACAGCTTTGGGGAGGTAATACTTGGAGGCGATACCAACTTTCTTCTAGATAGTTTTAAAGATTCCTCTGCCTCACATACTATAACACCCAACACCTCTAAGAAACGGCTCACACAATCACATAACATATGCGATATCCTAGCAACACATGATTACGTTGACCCTTGGAGAATTACACATCCCAACGAAACTGATTACACATGTCATACAGCGGTACACAATAGCTACTCCAGAATTGATAGGTTCTTGGTCAGAACCACCTCCCTTCTCAAGATACTAGACACTACCATAGGGGACATCACGTGGTCCGACCACGCACCAATCACGTTAACGATCAAGGACCAGTTCTCTCAGACTGGCCAGAGAACTTGGAGGTTAAACAACACCTTGTTAACAAACACACACATAGTCCAGGAAGTCACACAGGACCTACAAAACTACTTCGAGGACAATGATAAGCACAACACTGATCCGGATTATGTCTGGCTAGCACACAAGGCGGTCATTAGAGGCAGCTTCATAAAACATGCCAGCCATGCCTACAAGACACAAAGAGCACAATACTTAGCCCTTATCAGTGAGATCAAACACACCACACACAACAACAAACATGCACCCACCCCTGAGACACAACGAAAACTCTTGAGCCTGCAAACACAATTACGAGATATAGAGTTAACCAAAACAACCTACCTCTTACGAAAATCAAAACACAAATTCTTCGCGGCAGGGAATAAAGCAGGCGCTAAGCTAGCGGCGCAATTAAAACAAAAAATGATCGCCTCCAGGATTGCCTACCTCACCGATGGAAAAGGTCACAAAACTATTGACCCACGAGATATTGTTAATATGTTTGCAAATTACTATCGTCAGCTATACAATTTAAGTGAAGAGGGTACCACTAAGGTCCCAACTGTAGCGGACATAGACGGATTCCTACAAGACCTCTGCTTGCCCGCCCTGACACCGACCGCAATACAATCACTACGACAGCCTATCTCCTTAGAAGAGATCACTTCGGTGATCAAAGACTTACCCGCTGACAAATCACCTGGACCAGACGGTCTCACCAATGCCTATTACAAACTATTTGCAAATACCCTCTCCCCATACTTGTTGAAACTATACAGACAGAGTAATGACAGAGGAGCCCTACCGGCTGAAGTACTTCTAGCACACATATCCACCCTCCCCAAGCCAGGAAAACCACCGACACACTGTAAAAATTTCAGACCCATCTCCTTACTAAATGGGGATGCTAAAATCTACGCCAAGATCCTTAGCAACAGAATAGCACCACTCCTCAGAAACTTAGTGCATAACGACCAGTCAGGGTTTGTCAGAGGACGGCAGGGCTCAGACAACACCAGACGAATCCTCAACATACTGACACATATGGGAAAAAACAACACAGGGGGCCTTCTCTTGGCGCTAGACGCGGAGAAGGCATTCGACCGCCTCAATTGGAAGTACATGTCTGAAGTCCTGAGGAGGTACAGATTTCCGCCCGAAATGATTAGAGGGATAGCGGCGCTGTATAGCGCACCAGCGGCGAGGGTCTCCAACGGAGGCTTTACGTCTGACAAATTCTCTATTACTAATGGGACGCGCCAAGGTTGCCCCTTGTCCCCCCTCCTCTACATTCTCTCGCTGGAACCTCTGGCGTTAAAGATCCGTACGAATCCTGACATAAGAGGAGTAACAGTGACAGGCCAGGAACACAAACTGGCACTGTTTGCCGATGACGTCTTGGTGTCATTAACAGACCCAGAGAAGTCATTGCCACACCTTATGAACACACTTACCGACTTTGGCTTAGTTTCCCACTATAAACTTAACCAAGATAAAACTCAGGCACTGACGGTTAACTTACCCTTAGAACGCACGCAGACACTACAACGACAACACCAATTTGACTGGAGACTCTCATCCCTCACATACCTAGGGGTCAAAATCGCAACTTCCATAGCAAAAATCGTAAAATTAAATTACCTACCCTTACCACACATGTGCAAGGCGGACACCCTAAAATGGAAACATGTACACCTATCCTGGCTAGGAAGGATTAACGCTTTCAAAATGTCTATATTACCCAAAATTCTTTATGTTTTCCGTATGCTACCTCTCACGGTACCACAACCTCTGCTTAAGAGCATACAACACACGTGCAACACCTTTATATGGGACAATAAAAAGCCCAGGATCCCTCACAGACTTTTGTACACCCAGGTCAAACAAGGAGGAGTGGGTCTACCAAACATTAACCAATACTATAAAGCCGCGGCGCTAACAGCCGGCATAACGTTACACTCTCCTAAAGGGGACATCAGCTGGGTAGACATGGAAAACGCCCAACTAAAAACACTAAATATAGTTGATGTCCTATGGACGCCTAAACACCTACGGGTCCCCAAACTAGACCTATTTCACTCAACGTCTCTGACACTTCGTACATGGGACACGTTTATGGCCACAATGGGGTGCAAACTTTCCTTCCATCCCCGGGCACCACTGACTGCCCTAAGAACCGCATCCCCCGATCTCCCTCTAACAAGGTGGACTAAGGCAGGAATCACCAACATCCAGCACCTAGTAGACAATAAAGGCGTAATAGCATTTGCGGATATACAGGCCAAATGGCACCTACCGATGAGGGAGGTATTTACCTACCTAAGACTCAAAGGGACCATACTGGCTCATGTGAACCTACACAACAACACTCGGGAGCAATCACTAGTGGCGGGCGGGATTTTAGACAGATGCTGGGCCGCACCAAATAAACCAAAAGCCATCTCCCTCTGTTACAAAATGTGGGAGACCACATTACCACAACACACCCCCCTCTGTAAGACTAAATGGGAGGAGGACTGCTCCCTTCAACTCTCAGAGGACGACTGGGTCAGAGCAATAAATAGCCTCTCAAAACTCACTAGATGTTACACACACATAGAAGCGCATAGGAAGCTACTGTATAGGTGGTACATGACGCCAAGTCGGTTACATAAAATATACCCCAGTGTCACACCGACATGCTGGAGGTGTTCAAGGGACACCGGTACATTCCTCCACATATGGTGGACATGTCCAGTGATACAACCCCTCTGGACAGAGGTTAGGAGATTGCTGTATAAATTGGGCGTGACAAACCTATTGCCAAGCCCGCAAACATACCTCATGCTTCTGCTCCCCAGTGACCTAGCTAGAGAACACAGACAGGTGTGCGCCATCACGATACTGGCGGCCAGGAACCTTCTAGCGAAGAACTGGAAGTCGCACCTATGTCCATCTAAAACACAACTATGGGACAAGATTCAACAATACCATGTCTATGAACGAATGACGATGACCCATAGTATAGAATCACAACAGTTCCATTCAACATGGAAACAGTGGACATGTTTATACGACCAAGCCACAAATCACCAAAATCCACCTTGAGACCGTTAAATATGGCCTGACAGACTGTACCAGCACGCAACACCGTGCTCACAGAACCAACCTTTATCCTCCCGCACCAGACTGCTTTGCCCACAAACACCCAACAAGGGTAAACAATACGTGAGTGTAAAACTATACTAAGCAACCTTAAGTATGTGTATATCAGGTATATTGTTATTGCGGACACAGCCGCCTGCGAAACCCTAAATGTCACTGTCGAAAAACTTGATAACAAACCTTGTAACAGTCCATATTGTCTGCTTTCCCCCATTGTTATCCTTATAACTCCCTTCTCTTTTCTGTACCCCATATACTTGAAAATCAATAAAAATTTGCATTTAAAAAGCACATACCCTTACTAGAGAGCTATTTTCAGACAGTAATCACATATTAAATGAATTATTATTAAATAAAGAAAGCATGACTCACAGTAAAACCTTTGATGTACTTAACAATTGGTCGGAAGATCACATTGATAAATAGCCCAGGAGCTTATTTTCTAGTCTAAATGCCCTTCCACATATAAAAAGTTTAAAATAGTGCTAAAGTGGGAATTTAATGGGCCATTCACTTTGGAAATGAAGAAAAACAGCATTTATGCAGTGTAGAAATTTTTCTCAGCATATTTATTTTATTTTTACATTGAATCTTCTTCCATATTAGAATTATTATTGTTTTAATATATTTCTTTGGTTCAGTTATATAATTCTTTCCTATATATCTGCCATCTCAACTGTTGGCTCGGTAAGGAACTCTGTTTATTTACAGCAACATCCATATCTGACTGAGCCAGATATGAGAAACTAATGAAACAGCATGATCATTTGTTCCATTCTAGTGTCAAGCAAAATAATAATAAATTTAAAAAAAAAATACTACTGGTTAAAATTAGACCTGTGATAAATGTCACAGCATGTTCAAGGCAATCAAAGAAAAAGATGTGCTTCTTTAAAAAATGAACTGTTGGCCTCGCTAAGGATATTAGTGTTATTTCTAAAGCCAGCCATTCACTCCTCTCATTTAGTTCTAAAAATGAGAATTGGCAAACCTTACATTGCTCCTATTTCAACAATATGTTACAAAGTCACATTTGATAAAGGTTTACCGTGGATGACCACAATAGCTTTCAATATAGCTGAAATACTAAAGAACCACACACTCCCATATCTACATTATAACCTATGCAAGATTTAGAAAACATATAATGACTTCTTAAATTGTCCTGACTTTAAAACCAAACAAAACACCTGATTTGTGGCAGAGTTTCTTTGAAATAACACCAAAAGAACATTATATTTTGAAAGGACTGGACTTTAGTTGATGAAGACAAATGTGTGAGACCAGGCCTCAGATTTTGGATAAACAGTATTTTCACTGCAGATCCTACCACGAGCATCTATTTCAGTTCTTCCACACCTCAGATGTATTATAACTGCCTGAAACTCTAAGAATCATACAAAATAGTGTGCCATTTTGCAAACATTCTCAAGGATGCTCTGAAAAGGCCAGCAATTACCGGGCATATCGTTCATAGTTAGTGCATTATGAACACAGTTCAATAATTAGCATTACAATAACTGAAGATGTCTACTGTATTTTTTTCTATTCCAGAAGCACATGAGCAATGTGATTGTGAATGGTCAAACTAGTCATTCATTTGGCTTAACCAAATGAAGCCCACATTTTGACTCTTTTTGGCAAAAACATATGTATTAAATATTATTAGTCAACCTCTAAAGTAAAGAATCTGCAATATCTTATTTTCAATGGAACATTCAGTGGTTATTTTGCTGGAATGTTAAAAAGCAATTGATATAAAATTAACTGTCAGTTTTATAACTTTTCTGAATGCTTCAATAAATATTAATTATTATTAAAGGAACCCTATAGGGCAGTGATGGCGAACCTTTTTGAGCCTGAGTGCCCAAACCACAATACATGCCAACTTTCTTTCCTCTAAGTGCCAACACGGCAATTAAACCTGAATACGGAGGTTTAAATTTAGAAAAAAACAACTCTTACAGTTGTCCAAACTAATTAACAACTTTTATTTTAACCTCTTAATGACAGCGGGTGTTCTATGGGGACCCGGCTCTAAACGATGGCGGGCGGCATAGAACTCCCAAGCCATCCTTTCTACTTACCCAGGGAGTCCCCCTCCTTCCTCTTCGTCCCCTCTGGGCCATGTGATCGCGAGGTCCATGCAAGGACCTCACGATCACATGGACGGCATAGCCGTCCAGGGCAGTGCCAGCAAGACAAGTGCCTGTAAGGTACTCCCCCTGCTGCCTGTAAATAGTAAAAAAAAAGTTAGTTACAGTTGAGAATAAAATATATATTTAGATCATATATATATATATTTATTATATATATGACCTAAGTATGTATACTTAGGTCATATATATACACACATACACATACACTAAGTGTATTTTAATATTTATATATATATATATATATATATATATATATATATATAATTATATATATAATTATAAATATATATTAAATCAAAATACACATACAATGATATTGGTTAAATATATATATATATATATATATATATATAATTTTCATTATATATTTTTATATATAATATAAAATAAATAAATATGTAAATACGTTAAAAAAATTATAAAAAATAAATTAACAATATATATATATATATATATGAGTGTAAATTCATTCTAACTGTATTTTAAAATTAATATATATATATGTATATATATATATATATATGTATATATATATATATGGATAGATATCAAAATACATGTAGAACAAAATAATATATATATATCTATATACATAAGTAAATATGTATTTATCACTATATATACCTATACATAAATAAAAATAATAAAAAAATTATATACATATATATATATATATATATATATATATAATTCTTCATATATATTTATGTAATAATTTTACATAATTAGATAATTGTATTAATTACAATTTGCGGGACCTGCCTGACAACCCAGGCCAAAAGTCCAGCGAATTTTATTAGCTAGCACTATATTTAACCCTGTAACTTTCCAAGACACCATAAAACCTGCACATGGGGTACTGTTTTACACGGAAGACTTTGCTGAACACAAATATTAGTGTTTCAAAACAGTAAAATGTATTACAACAACGATATTGTCAGTGATATTGTCAGTGAAAGTGACAGTTTTTGCATTTTTCACACACAAATGACACACGGATGATATAATTGATCTCATACATTTTACTGTTTTGAAACACTAATATTTGTGTTCAGCGAAGTCTCCCAAGTATAACAGTACCCCTCATGTACAGGTTTTATGGTGTTTTCAAAAGTTACAGAGTCAAATATAAGGCCTGCGTTTCAGTTTTTTCACATTGAAATTTGCTAGGTTGGTTATGTTGCCTTTGAGACCATACGGTAGCCCAGGAATGAAAATTACCCCCATGATGGCATACCATTGGCAATAGTAGACAACCCAGGGTACTGCAAATTGGGTATGTTCAGTCTTTTTTAGTAGCCACTTAGTCACAAACACTGGTCAAAATTGGCGTCCAAATAAATTTTTTGCATTTTTCACACACAAACAAATATTAACACTAACTTTGGCCAGTGTTTGTGACCAAGTGGGTACTAAAAAAGACTGGACATACCCCATTTGCAATACCTTGGGTTGTCTACTTTTGCAAATGATATGCCATCATGTGGGTAATTCTTATTCCTGGGCTACCATCCGGTCTCAAAGTCAACGTAACCAATCTGGCGAATTTCAACGTGAAAAAACTGAAAAATGTAACATGCTATAAAACCATAAAACCTGTACATAAGGGGTAATGCTTTACACATGAGACATCACTGAATACAAATATGTGTAATTTATTGGAGTAAAAGTAAACCGTATTATGACACTCACAGTTAAAATGTCACGTAGAACTAACATTTTTTAAAATTCTTATTTTCTCCCATTTTTTAAATATTTTATTAATATTAAATTATGCTTATGTTCATATTTGATGTTAAATGAAAGCCCTGTTTCCCCTGAATAAAATTATATATAATAAGTGTGGATGCACATAATATGAAAGAGGCGAATTACGCCTGAACAGACATATAGCGCAAATTCAAGTTTTGTGTTTATGTTTTGTTTTGATCACAACGTGTACATTTGTCACAGTCCTTAAGGGGTTAAACGAAGAACACAGCAACAGAGAGTTCAATTATACAAATTTTAAATAATGATATAAATAGATAAAATGAAGCTTATATTTATTAGTATCTCCAACAAATGCAATACATGCACACAGACTGCTGAACACATTCACACACCGATGCTTAAAACACACACAGTCCGCTGAATACACACACTACTGAATACACACACTGCTGAATACACATACAGACAGAGTGCTGAATACAAATACACACACACACACACACACAGACTGCTGAATACATACACACAGTC